GTAGTGACAGGTTAATGGCTGGACTTGATGATCTTAAAGGTCTTTTCCAACCACTATGATCCAAGGCATGTAAGAAAGGCACAACTGCTGTTTAAACACATGTGAGAATCATTCTTGATACAAGTAATTTCGGTGCTCCCTATCAGCTGCAAGACAGCAAGATACACTTCCTGTGCACTTCTACCTGGATACTTAGAGATGTCTTCTGGAACACCAAATCTCATGTCTGACTCTTGCCAGTAAAGGAGCAAGCTTTTGACAAGTCTCACGCTTATTTCTCAAGGCTAACCTACCACTTAAATTCTCAGGAAGCACCGCTTAGTTTTGCTGGAGATACTGATATAGACTAAGTATCTTCAATTAATTTATTTACTGCTTTAAGGTTGGGGGATATGCAAATGAAATTACAGAACATTTCACATTTTCAGATCAAGTTCTACCCCACTAAGGTGTTCTGCACTTTCAGTGTATCTAAGCAGTGTCCTTGCTAGCTTTGATACTGACCACAATTTAATAATTTTATTTCTAATGCAGCTTGCTGCTTCCATTCAAAGCTGGTGCCCATCTGCATGGCAGCTATATTATGCCAGGTAAGCACATGCTTTTAGTGGTACCATGAGTCACTACCTCAGCACAATTATATCTGACCTCAGTACACTTATATCTGAGAATTCAACTAAGGATAGGACATAGCTGTGTTTTATTCTGCACGGGCAGTTTGAATATTTAGTATTATTTATTTGGGGTTTTTCTGTTTGTTTGGTGTTTTAAACCACAATATTAAAACCCTTTCACATACGAAGTCATTGCACTTATCTGTACAACATATTAAAAGGGGTAAAAACAAAAGGAAACAAACTCAATCTCTGATCCCTTTCAGAAAATATATACAATACCTCAGGAATTTTCTCCTTCCACTCTTGATAGAGGTCCCTCATGTCAATCAGTTTGTTCTCTAGTTTCTCAATAGTCCACACTTGAGTACCTTTTCCTTTTCTTCTCACTTGAATAGCAGGCTCGCTCACTATTGCACCCCTCTAAAACAGAGGAGAAAACAGTCACTGTAGGAAAGGTGCATGTAAGTAGTTTAACTCTTCATTCAAATGGCATTCCTAAAAAGGAATAAAATCCAGAGCATGCAGCTTCCCTCTGCATGCCAGCCATCTCTGTCTTCAAACACAGCATACCCTATACACCTCCCAGGATCCAGACCCCTTTGTCCTGAGACAACCACCATTCGCACAGGAACATCAGCACCCTCAATCAAATCACTTATGACAAGCATATTATAGTAATTGCTACCATTCCATTTACAGTAGCACTACAATTAGAAAACCCTTAAGACAAAAAAAATGGTATGCAACTGTAACAAAAGCTGGTAATTTTTGCAAACATAACTAAAACACAGGTTTTACAGCAACAGAACACACACGTCTGGTCACCAACCACATGCGCATATGGTGATCATACATTTGGAAGAACAGCAAGAGCTATGCCTACTGCTATGTTCCCATTTTTACTTACAATTATTCACTTTCCATATATTAAATTCAGGTAGCATCCATATTTTGCCTATGCACAATCTAACAGAAGTAGCATTTTATAGCCTCAAGTTTGATAAATCTTATCTAAGTCTACATATTTTAGATCAGCCATAAAACTACATTTTCTAGCACTCTTTGCTGTCATTACCTTTTTGTTGGCACTGAGGTTTTCAGCAGGGATCTGAAGCGTTACTTGATAATCTGTGAGCTTACTCATTTCTTCTGCTAAGAAGTTTGCTTCTCTCACCAGTGTATTGGCTTTTACTATCTGCTCTCGGAGTTTAGCCAGGCTCTGTCGAAACAATTCATCCCTGTGGTGCAGTAGGTAACATGAAAAATACACAGAAACCTATTTCTATTATTGGAAAGCTGCAAATAGAGGTGCTAACAAAGACTGTTCTGAAACAAGGTTAAGAAGAAATGCTGTACAGCACAATGTCAGCAAACATGAAACAGTGTCAGATCATTTTACTGAGGAAAAGCAGTGACCACACAGTAAACAAACATATTACTGTTGAGATCAGTCTAGCACAGTAATGCCCAAATAAAAGGGCACAGTACGATGGGAGCTGGTACAGTGATGATTTGTTAAAAGCCCTAGGGATGTTTTGAATTTCCAAGAAATGAAATAATTGCAGCTGTCTTTAATCTGGAGTCCTGATGCACAGAAACTACCAGTTCCAACATGTGAGACTTCATCTTGATAAAACCTGCTTTTCCTCAGATCATGATGCTGGAACCTGCAATCACTGCGGGCCACTGCTTTACATGACAGCCAGGGCTTTGCAGTGCTACAGACCCCTCAACCTCCCCTCTGTATACTTACGTCACCTCAGGTGTACATATAATAAAAAATAAATAATAAAAATCTTAAGTCCTGTATACCCAAAGTACTTTGGAATAGATGAATGAGCACAGGTTAAAGCTTGTGCACTCCATACAGTTAGCCGTCTCTGGACAAATTCCAAAAAGGTTTTAAAGCCTGTCTGAACAAATCTATTCTAACCTACCACCCGGCAAACCTGCTATGACACATACTATACCTCCACCTCTGATACTAAGATACACTCTCACCTGGGATTCTCATCTTTAATTTGTCTTTTTAAAGTATGACGATAATCCTCTGAGCAAATGCCAAGTCCCCCTTTCTGCCTTTCTTCATAATCCCAACAGCACACAATGTGTCTCATCATCTTCATGATCAAACTTCAGATATTTCAGTGACCAGCACTCCCCTGTATGCTTTTTTTATGCAAAGTCCTACTGAAATGCAGGACATGTTGCAGGCATACACTTCTCATTTCTACAAAATGCATCACGTTACAGACAAGCGCAGGAGGAACAAGCAACCTCACGGGCCCTGCTGTGACTACAGGCAAAGTTTGCCTATTTGCCTTTATTCAGATAAACTTACAACTTTTTTATGTCTTTATAATACAAACCACAAACAACTGCTAATATACAAACAACTGCTAATAACTCTTTTACTGTGAGGGTGCC